GTATATTTTATGAGATTTATATAATTTAAACGAAAAAATTTTTAATTTCAAAGAAAAAATATTAAAAAAGAAAATAAAATGTATTTAAAATGTATTATAGTATCTGAAATCAAAATATACTTTCAAATATTATAATTTAAAATACAGAGTCTTCAATATAAATTCTTTAATTCATAATGATTTTTTACATTTAAAAATATATTTATTATTATACAATCGATAATATTATGTACTTCGTAATAGATTATTAGATTATACAATTCAAAATCTTTCCACATCCATGGATAATTTAGATTTTTTTTACAGCAACGAAAACAGGAAGAAGGATTGGAGGTTTTAAAAGAAATATCCAACAAATATTAAGACATTTTCTTTCTGGACCGTGCCCATATAGAGAACTTGGGCCCGGCCCACGAGACGAAGTTTAAACCCTCACTTCAGCCACTGCCCCACGTTTCCCCAAAAAACCCCGACCACCACCACAGACCTCGATGAGCGCCGCGAAGGTAGTGGCAGCGACGATCCGGCTCACAGTGCCAGCCGGCGGGGCTCGGCCGGCGCCTCCGGTGGGGCCGGCGCTCGGTCAGTACCGGCTGAACCTGATGGCGTTCTGCAAAGACTTCAATGCGCGCACGCAGAAGTATAAGCCTGAAACTCCCATGGCGGTGACGATTACGGCATACAAGGACAACACGTTCGAGTTCACCGTGAAGTCGCCTTCGGTGTCATGGTATCTGAAGAAGGCCGCCGGGGTGGAATCCGGCAGCAGCCGCCCTGGTCACGTGACGGCGTCCTCCCTGTCGGTTCGGCACGTGTACGAGATCGCCAAGGTGAAACAATCAGACCCGTACCTCCAAAACATGCCGCTGGAATCCATTTCCAAGTCCATCATGGGAACCGCTAACAGCATGGGAATTAAGATCGTCAAGGACCTCGATTGAGGCTTTATTGATTTGAACTGCTTTCTTATGTTGTGCGATTAGGACTGAGGTTAGGGTTTTTATCTTGAGGTTGTTATTGTGCTCTTTTGAGTTCAATAGTGGAAGAGATGCTAGTACTTGCACATAAGCTTTTGTTATAATAATTATTTTGCTAATGGATGTTTTAATTGTATTGATCATGTTGACAGTTAAAAAAATGTTCTTTTAGAGGTTTTTGTTGGCAATATCAGTTATATGATCCAGTCCTTTGGTAAAAAAATATGGTAATATTACCTTTGAATATTTTATCAGTGTCAATGGGGTCTGGGATCTGCATAAAGTCGGGTTTTATCTTCTTAGTAGTATTGATCAACTATGTCTAAGAGGGTTTGGTGATGTTTTGTTCTCGGCAACTAAATGTATGAGTGCTACTTTTGGTTTTCTATTCTTGAATCTTGCTCAATTTATATCTATAGTAGATGTAGAAATCAATTTAGGTTTTAGTCTTTTAAACTGCGTATTTGTTCACATTCATTTGCCTGATGAGTCTCCAGTTGTTCTTGTCCTTTCTTGTTCGATGAACAATTTCAAGTTATGAAATTTGACAATTTACTGACCCTTTATATATGATATGTGGCTGTTGAAATTGGAACAACTCATTTATTTGATTTCTAGAAGAATATACACATGTGCATGTAGCTAATTTAGATGGTGAACTGGTCATGCTTTGAATAGAGTAGGCATGATCGATTGTTGAGAACAAGAACCAGTTCCTCTCGGTGTCATTTGGCTGATCTTTTAAAATAAAATGGTGATTAGCCAGGTTTTTTTCTGTTCGTATGCTATTGGAAGGGGAAAAAGAAGGTAAAAATGATAAAAGGGATTTGGGGAATGATCTGGCGAGTTTATTTTAAGCACAGAGAAAAGCAAGAAGAAGAAAATAAATGAATGAGTTTTGTAATAAGCTGCAATTATGCATTTGTAAAATCTGAATTCTGGATGCATGAAAGTCAAAGTCTTGAAGAAGCTGAAGAAACTTTGAGCTGTATTTTGCAGATGCAGATTGTTCATCCATTGCTGTCTGTCTCCCCTAACTGTCAGGCTTTCTTTCCATACTGCTCTGATTTCAAAATCTGGGGTAAGAATTAACAGTCAACCTGTTCCTTTTTTTAATGTTGTTATTGTCATATGTGATAGTTCTCTATTAGCTTCAACAATTAACAAGGTTTCTTAAGTTATCAGATAACAGGGGATTGATCTGATGATGGCCCTTGTTATATAATCATAGATTTGAACTTAGGAAACTAAATTATTGTTCTGAACATATAGCATTTGACCCAGCTTTTTTACTTTTTTTCATATTGTTTTTGTTTTATTCAATCTGAAGTCCCAATAATCTCAGTGGTTCTGTCTTGCAAGTTAAAAACTATATTAATGAGTCATAGCTCACTTTTGATGTTGGGATTCAATGATGAACTAAACCATACGAGTTGCTGTAAAAGTACTGTAAGATGATGAACTAAACTATATTTTTTAATTCTTAATACTGTAATTCATATTTTTAAAATAAAAATAATGTTATAAAAAAAGATTATTTGGAAAATGATACTCAGATTTTATTTAAAAAATAAGTACTATGAATATTTAGACTATGAATATCTAAAGGTAAATGCAAGTAATATATTATTTTGTCACTGAAAATAGAAAAATAAGACTAAAGTGAAGGAAATGAAAGCTTTCTATAAAAGGAGTAAAATGTTTTCAATGACAAAGGTAAGATGAGAATAAATTTATTAAACTTGTTCCTCCACATCAAAAGAAAAATGAGGTAAGAATATAAAATATGTACACCTACTAATCAAATTTCAATTTCTGAGATCAATATAGGTGTCTTAACTCAGATAGTATTTAATAATTACTATTTTTTTGGTCCTCATTTCTTTTTTGTTATTTTAATTCTTCAAAATTTTAATCTTATTATTTTAGTTTCTCTAGTTAATAATTGAAATTTAAAAAATAAAAATGATAAAAAAATTTAAAAGAAAAACAATAAAATTAATATATTATAAATATTTGTAGAATAATCAAACCTTAAAACTAATATTAAATAATTAGCTTGAACGCCCTTCAAGACCTGATTTTGTTACTAAATTTGTTTCGAGGTTTTGTTACTAATTTTGTGACATTTTCCTAATCTTTTAATTCCTATTATTAACTCTAATTAATTTAGTAAAAAAAATAAGAAGTATTAATTAAAACAATTAAGTCTTTTAAGTTTATAATTTTGTCATGAATGTTTTTTTATATTAGTTTTAAATTGTGTAAAAAAAATTAATAATGTATTTTTAATATTAATATAATTTGAATATATTTATAATTATAAATTTGAAAAAATATGTAGATATATTACTTTTATCTTTAGAAATAAAATACCTATTTATAATATACTAAAATTATAATATCAAAATTAATATCTAGAAAATAATTGACAGGCATTTAAGTAAACAATAATAACTTTTTAATATAAATACAATGTTTAAAGTAAGTAAATTGTTGGTTGAGAAAATAAAATTTATAAATAATTATTTCATTGATATTAAAGAAATATATATTTAAATTAGTTAAGTCCTTAGACATATAACTACTTTGATTTTTAATTTTATTTTTTAATTATATTAATTAATATTTTATTTTGAGTAACAAATTAATTGTGATTAAATATAAAAAATGTACATTTAACAACCCTTTCTCAAAAAATCAAAACATACATATATATTTACTGAAATAAATATTTTAAACACGTTTTTCAAATGCATATAAATTATTAAAACCTGAGTTTAAAAAACAAAGGTAAGTACAAACTAGTAAGAATAAAAACCCAGCTCCAAATGAAAACTATGAATTACACCATTTATCCTCTACTCATTTATCATTTTATAAATTTTCACATCCACTTATCCCTTTATTTTCACTATATTTTTTTCTAATTTTTTGAATTATGATACTTATAAAAGTTATAAATTAAAATAAAATAATAACTTACTATGAGATTGAAATATCTATTAACATAATTATTATTTCAAAACATTACATATTTAGCACATTTGTTTTTGGAAAAATAATTAACATAAGTTAAAAATAAATTATGCATCCAAAAGTTATAAAAAAATCCAAATTTTAAAAAAATAACTATTTATGAATAAATAACTTGTCTTATTGTTTAAAATAATCTTATTATGTAGACACCCTTTCACTTGTTGCTATAATTATTAAAAATTCTATCTAAAATAAAAAATATCCAAAAATATACGAATTACAATAAAAATTCTATTCATCTCTAACACCTTAAAAGCTTATTGAACTAATACTAAATAACAATCTAAAAAAATACGCTGAATATTGGAAATATATTTTTTTTAACAGTCAATTTTAAAATCTAAAAGAATATGTTTACCAACCACACATATCCTTCTTTTAGGAAAAACACACTTCAAACAGAAAACTTCCTTAATTAACAATAACAAAAAATAAAGTTGTCATGTCTTATTAACAGTAATAGAACAATAAGAGCACTGTCATTTTCAAATATGATCATGTTTTCTATCTGTTACACTACTTTTAAATTTTTTTAAAAAAATCATAATTGTTTGAATTACCAATATAAGTAAATTTAAATATGGTAATTAGATATATTTTAATATTTGAACAAAATCTATAACTCAAGATAAAACCATAAATAGCTTAAAAATAATAAAGGAAAGTTTGTTTTAATCACTACTATTCTAAACATATCCTACAATCCTTTCTAATTTTGTTTTAGTACTTTTTTTTAACAATTTACCCAATCACCTTTTCCTTAATCCACATAAAGTCAAATCTTTATATAAAAATCTAAAAAAAATACTAAATAAAAATTAGAAATTTAAATCAAAACAGCATTCAAAGATCGAATCTGAGATTCCCATCTCAGAATAGATTTTACCAACCCCTATTTTTCAGAAAAAAAAATATCACTGATAAAACAAAAAAGATAATATATTTAGATGAAAAGAAACATCATGAAGATGGTTGGAATTCCTAGTACCATCCAAAGATAAAGTAAGATTGTATGAGAAAAAAACGTTCCCAGAAGTGGCGATTACCTACTCCCCAAGCAAATAGTATCCCATATTAGGATCATTGCCACACATAGTAATCCATCTGTCACTTTTCTCCCAAGATTCTAATTTTGGTCACTCTTTCCATTTTTGGTGGTCTCTGCAGAATCCCAATCCTCTCCAACAACAATATAGTTGTTCTTTTTTATTTTGTGTGTGCTGTGTGTCTTGCATATAAATAAAGAACCTCTTTTGGGGTCCTTCTTTTCATGCCCATCTTTCCCCTCTTATTCTGAATGCTGGTGGGTTCAGTGTTTGGTGAGGAAGGATAATAAAGGTTGGTGCTTTGTGAGAGGGAAGAGAAAAAAACATGGGGAGGGGGAAGATTGAGATTAAGAAAATTGAGAATTTGAACAGCAGACAGGTTACCTTTTCCAAGAGGAGAAATGGGTTGCTCAAGAAGGCCAGAGAATTGTCTGTTCTATGTGATGCTGAGGTTGCTGTCATCATATTCTCTAGCACTGGCAAGCTTTATGAGTTTTCAAACACAAGGTGCTTGCTTGTTTCACCCCTTTGTTCAAATTTGAAACCTTTCACAAACAAAAATGATTCTTTTTAGGATTTTGTTTGTTTTTAGGATACAAGGTAATCTTGCTAGATATTTAGTTTTTTTTTTTCTTTTTTTTTTCATGAAAGTTGTTTGGGGTGGTGATACTTGTGGACCAAGTAAACAGGTTTGCTGTTCTTTGTATTGGAGAACCATTTAAGAGTTTAAAGGAGAACAATGGTTTTGTTACAAGAAAAAAAACGTGGAGGGTTTTTATCAGACAAATGTTTGAATTTGGATTTTTGTTAAGGTTTAAGCTAAAGGTGTGGTTCTGATGAATTTATCTTTTGTGGATGATGTGAATGGTGAGGTTAGTTAAAAGAAAATTAACTCTGCAAGATAGAGAAAGAGATTTTTAGGGGTAGAGATAGAATTATACTCTACATGCATTTTGTGGCTATGGGATCAATGAAGAAACAAGTACTGAAACTGAGTTGTGTTCATGTATGATGTATCTGGTTTGATGAGTTGAAGAATCCCATCTTGTGCTATTCTAGATTCCTAATGCCAAAAAAAAATCTATGGTAGTAACCATCACATTAGGGTCTACAATTTTCTACTTTTTTTCTAGTCCAAATTCTGCCTTAATCAGTTATTGACAATTAGCCATGTTTAGACTATCTTATTTAGAGAGCTTCCTGAGAATATTCTAAAAATAAGTGATTATTGCTCCAAAATTTAGCTGAAGTAAATATGGGGACAATAAAACATATCTTTTAGTTTTCTTTTAAAACTCAGATGCCATTTTTTAAATGCAAGGATATAATTGTGATAGAAGATTTTTTTCCATCAAATTTAATGCTAATTTGCTAGTCCAAGCTCATGCTGGCCTTTTAGCAACTTTCAAATGCTCTTACTGTTGTTGCAACTGTTTATATGATCCACCTGAGGCTTATTTTTTCTTATGATTAAATGAATTTTATTTCATTTATGAAGCATGGAGCATACCCTATCAAGGTATATGAAAGGCACAGAATTGGATTCTGCAGAGCAACCTATTGATGTGTCCCCAAAAGATGTATTTAAATGTTTCCCTCTAATATCTTAAAGCATCACACTTTTTTTAACCCTTTTAAGTTAATCTTTCTCAGTATATAGTTTGAAGTGTTATTATTCATACTTTTCAATAGGTTACGGTTATGGAGCCTGATACAGATCTTTTGATGGATGAAATAACAAAGCTTCGATCTGCATACTCGTAAGTTTCACTGACACTTTATATAACTAATCAGCAATGCTATTGCAACTAACTGATACAATCATTAGTGAAACACCTTAATGAAATGACCCAATAATGGAACTACCTCACTGTAGTAGATATTTGATGTTGGAACTGGTCATGCTTTGAAAGAGTAGGCATGATGATTGGGAGAACAAAGAAACCAGTCCTATCGGTGTCATTGGCTGATCTTTTAAAAATAAATGGTGACTAGCCAGGTTTTTTTCTTTTCGTTCCGTATGCCCTATTGGAAGGGAAAAAGAAGAAGATAAATGATTAAAAAGGGATTTGGGGAATGATTGGCGAGTTTATTTTAAGCACAGAGAAAAAGCAAGAAGAAGAAAATAAATGAATGAGTTTTGTAATAAGCTGCAATTATGCATTTGTAAAATCTGAATTCTGGATGCATGAAAGTCAAAGTCTTGAAGAAGCTGAAGAAACTTTGAGCTGTATTTTGCAGATGCAGATTGTTCATCCATTGCTGTCTGTCTCCCCTAACTGTCAGGCTTTCTTTCCATACTGCTCTGATTTCAAAATCTGGGGTAAGAATTAACAGTCAACCTGTTCCTTTTTTTAATGTTGTTATTGTCATATGTGATAGTTCTCTATTAGCTTCAACAATTAACAAGGTTTCTGAAGTTATCAGCATAACAGGGGAATTGACTTTTATTTAATGTTATTTTATCCCTTCGACCCCTACTGTCCTTTTTCTTTTGTTAGGGTGTTTGTTTCCCTTTTTTTCTAATCATAATTTGACTTAGGAAACTAATTATTGTTCTGCTACCATAATAGCATTTGAACCCCAGCTTTTTACTTTTTTTTCATATTGTTTTTTGTTTTTATATCTTTTATTCAATCTGAAGTCCCAATAATCTCAGTGTTCTGTCTGCAAGTTAAAAACTATATTTAATGAGTCCATTAGCTCACCTTTTGATGTTTGGGATTCAATGATGAACTAAACCATACGAGTTTGCTGTTAAAAAGTAACTGTAAGATGATGAACTAAACTTATTTTTTTAATATTTCTTAATACTGTAATTCCATATTTTTTAAAATAAAAAAATGTTATAAAAACAAAAAAAAAAGATTAACTTGGGAAACATGGATACTCGAAATATTTTCTTTAAAAAATAAAGTACTATGAATATTAGACTATGAAACTACTTCCTAAAGGTAAATGCAAGTTAATATTATCACAAATTACAATTTTTGTCACTGAAAATAGAAAAATAACTAAAGTGAAGGAAATGAAAGCTTTTTTCTATAAAAGGATTAAAATGTTTTTTCAAATGACAAAGGTAAGATGAGAATAAATTTATTAAACTTTGTTCCGCCACAATCAAAAGAAAAATGAGGGTAAAGATATAAATAATGTACACCTACTAATCCCAAATTTCAATTTTCTGAGATCAATATAGGTGTCCTTAACCTCAGATAGGATATTAATAATATACTATTTTTTTGGTCCTCATTTTCCTTTTTTTTGTTTATTTTAATATCTTTAATTTCTAAATTTGAATCTTATTATTTAGTTTCTCTAGTTAATAATTGAAATTTAAAAAATAAAAATGATAAAAAAATTTAAAAGAAAAACAATAAAATTAATATATTATAAATATTTGTAGAATAATCAAACCTTAAAACTAATATTAAATAATTAGCTTGAACGCCCTTCAAGACCTGATTTTGTTACTAAATTTGTTTCGAGGTTTTGTTACTAATTTTGTGACATTTTCCTAATCTTTTAATTCCTATTATTAACTCTAATTAATTTAGTAAAAAAAATAAGAAGTATTAATTAAAACAATTAAGTCTTTTAAGTTTATAATTTTGTCATGAATGTTTTTTTATATTAGTTTTAAATTGTGTAAAAAAAATTAATAATGTATTTTTAATATTAATATAATTTGAATATATTTATAATTATAAATTTGAAAAAATATGTAGATATATTACTTTTATCTTTAGAAATAAAATACCTATTTATAATATACTAAAATTATAATATCAAAATTAATATCTAGAAAATAATTGACAGGCATTTAAGTAAACAATAATAACTTTTTAATATAAATACAATGTTTAAAGTAAGTAAATTGTTGGTTGAGAAAATAAAATTTATAAATAATTATTTCATTGATATTAAAGAAATATATATTTAAATTAGTTAAGTCCTTAGACATATAACTACTTTGATTTTTAATTTTATTTTTTAATTATATTAATTAATATTTTATTTTGAGTAACAAATTAATTGTGATTAAATATAAAAAATGTACATTTAACAACCCTTTCTCAAAAAATCAAAACATACATATATATTTACTGAAATAAATATTTTAAACACGTTTTTCAAATGCATATAAATTATTAAAACCTGAGTTTAAAAAACAAAGGTAAGTACAAACTAGTAAGAATAAAAACCCAGCTCCAAATGAAAACTATGAATTACACCATTTATCCTCTACTCATTTATCATTTTATAAATTTTCACATCCACTTATCCCTTTATTTTCACTATATTTTTTTCTAATTTTTTGAATTATGATACTTATAAAAGTTATAAATTAAAATAAAATAATAACTTACTATGAGATTGAAATATCTATTAACATAATTATTATTTCAAAACATTACATATTTAGCACATTTGTTTTTGGAAAAATAATTAACATAAGTTAAAAATAAATTATGCATCCAAAAGTTATAAAAAAATCCAAATTTTAAAAAAATAACTATTTATGAATAAATAACTTGTCTTATTGTTTAAAATAATCTTATTATGTAGACACCCTTTCACTTGTTGCTATAATTATTAAAAATTCTATCTAAAATAAAAAATATCCAAAAATATACGAATTACAATAAAAATTCTATTCATCTCTAACACCTTAAAAGCTTATTGAACTAATACTAAATAACAATCTAAAAAAATACGCTGAATATTGGAAATATATTTTTTTTAACAGTCAATTTTAAAATCTAAAAGAATATGTTTACCAACCACACATATCCTTCTTTTAGGAAAAACACACTTCAAACAGAAAACTTCCTTAATTAACATGAAAAGTAGTAGGAGGTCCTAGTCTATAGTCACTAGTTTTGGTCATAGATGTTTGACGGATTAACCTTGGTGTATGACATTATGGTGGTGGTTGAGGTTGTGGTTATTATTATTCCGAGCAAATTGCTCCACCATACACGGCTGTAGATTCCCCATGAGTTTGACATTAATACATCTATCTGGATAGTTAAAGTTTCAAAGTTGAAGGGATTGTTTCTATGTTGCTTGATTTATAATATGGATTTTTTGTTATTGCTTTAAAAAAGGCATGTATATTCTCTTGATACTTTACTTTACCCTTACTTTTGTATTTCTCTATGTATTGTTTTCTCTTTTGCAATGATCACCTTAATTGGTGTGAGTTAAGGAATAAAACATCTTTTCAGTTGATTCAACTTTTTGTTGAGAAAGGAACAACAAGATAGATAAATTTTGTTCTTTAAAGATATAACTTCCTCCTGTAATAGTCTCAAAGTTATTATATATATAACGTTTTATTTTAATAATTTTACATTATTATATTAGAATGTTACCTAACCAAACAAAATTTTAAACAATTTCTAGTTATCTTTTTTTTTCTCTTATGAATTTTATCAATTTTAATAAGATCAATTAAGAAAAATAATGATCTCAATTTGATTAAGCTCATACTGAATTTTTATTATGTTTAGATGTTTTGCTCAATCTCTAGATTTTGAACAACTATTTGTTTAAACTAAAACTTTCTTTAAAAAGCAAGGAATTACATGTAAGTAAAAGTTATACATTTTTTTTTTATAGAACCTTAGCATAAATTATATGGATGTGTAGATCACATAATTACAATGTTTTAAAATTATTTAATTTTTTTTTGTGTTGTTTCAGTATATTTTATGAGATTTATATAATTTAAACGAAAAAATTTTTAATTTCAAAGAAAAAATATTAAAAAAGAAAATAAAATGTATTTAAAATGTATTATAGTATCTGAAATCAAAATATACTTTCAAATATTATAATTTAAAATACAGAGTCTTCAATATAAATTCTTTAATTCATAATGATTTTTTACATTTAAAAATATATTTATTATTATACAATCGATAATATTATGTACTTCGTAATAGATTATTAGATTATACAATTCAAAATCTTTCCACATCCATGGATAATTTAGATTTTTTTTACAGCAACGAAAACAGGAAGAAGGATTGGAGGTTTTAAAAGAAATATCCAACAAATATTAAGACATTTTCTTTCTGGACCGTGCCCATATAGAGAACTTGGGCCCGGCCCACGAGACGAAGTTTAAACCCTCACTTCAGCCACTGCCCCACGTTTCCCCAAAAAACCCCGACCACCACCACAGACCTCGATGAGCGCCGCGAAGGTAGTGGCAGCGACGATCCGGCTCACAGTGCCAGCCGGCGGGGCTCGGCCGGCGCCTCCGGTGGGGCCGGCGCTCGGTCAGTACCGGCTGAACCTGATGGCGTTCTGCAAAGACTTCAATGCGCGCACGCAGAAGTATAAGCCTGAAACTCCCATGGCGGTGACGATTACGGCATACAAGGACAACACGTTCGAGTTCACCGTGAAGTCGCCTTCGGTGTCATGGTATCTGAAGAAGGCCGCCGGGGTGGAATCCGGCAGCAGCCGCCCTGGTCACGTGACGGCGTCCTCCCTGTCGGTTCGGCACGTGTACGAGATCGCCAAGGTGAAACAATCAGACCCGTACCTCCAAAACATGCCGCTGGAATCCATTTCCAAGTCCATCATGGGAACCGCTAACAGCATGGGAATTAAGATCGTCAAGGACCTCGATTGAGGCTTTATTGATTTGAACTGCTTTCTTATGTTGTGCGATTAGGACTGAGGTTAGGGTTTTTATCTTGAGGTTGTTATTGTGCTCTTTTGAGTTCAATAGTGGAAGAGATGCTAGT